CATCAGTTTATACTGTAACTGTTAAGAGACTATGCTGTAGATAATATATATCATCAGTTTATACTGTAACAGTTAAGAGACTATGTTGTAGATAATATATATCATCAGTTTATACTGTAACTGTTAAGAGACTATGCTGTAGATAATATATATCATCAGTTTATACTGTAACTGTTAAGAGACTATGTTGTAGATAATATATATCATCAGTTTATACTGTAACTGTTAAGAGACTATGCTGTAGATAATATATATCATCAGTTTATACTGTAACTGTTAAGAGACTATGTTGTAGATAATGTACCATCAATTTATACTACAGATATCATCTGTCTAAATAAGCTGTCCAATGTCCACAATGAATCTGTCTAAAGTCCACAGAGTACTGCAATCTGCTTTGTATCATACAGCAAAATATTTGAGTGTGTGTATTCAGTTCAAATGCAGTTGTTACCAAAATTTACCAAAGCTTGGATAAATTGTTCATACAACAATGACAGGAAATTAAATTAAAGGAAAAACCTGTAACATGAAAACTAAAGTTTTTTTACAAATAAAACAAGTAATATGTTTTAAAAACTTAGTTTTAAAAAATACTGTGCTTCACTAGGCTTACCTAACACAGTTATTTGTTACAACTAAAATAAGTTTTTAAAAACATATCACTTGTTTTATCCACAATGATGAGAAACGTTTTTTGGATGCTGTCTTCCTAAGGTTACTGATAAATGAGGAATATTACCTTTTAAAAGATGCCGATCCATTCGTTAAGCTTGCAATTGTTTGCTTTTAAAATGAAGAGAGAACAACTTACTTCCACTGAGGATTGTGAGTGTAGCCTGTCAGTTTGTGTTCTGTTGGGGATTGAACCAGCTCTTCCAACATCATTTTCCACTCTAGAAGTGCGTTTAGGTGATGGGAATGATTTCTGGATGGTGGGTGGTGGATGAGTAGTTTGCCAGTAAGCTTCAAGATACTCATAGAGATGCTCACATGCCTCTTCCAACTGATTTTCATCAAGTATCAAATCAAACATTTCCTACAAGTAGAGAAGGTGAAAGAATGAGACAGAACATTCAATACTACACTGTTCTGTCCCCAAAACAAAGAAACAAAATATTTGTTTGGTGGCCACCACTAGTTATACTTCCAATCAACTTAACCTCTCACTGGTTATTGCAAACTGCATAATAGTACTAAATACATTATAGCATTACATAATTAGTTACATTAGTTTCTGTTAATTACTTTGTTATAGTTATCATTGTTGTTACTTTTTGTTTTAGTCTTATTACTACTGTGGTGTTTCTTGTATCTTATTATTGCCTAGACATTTTGGCTATTTCTTAGAACTTTAACTATTACTTCCAACTGCCCACTTTGTGAACTGACAATGTGTGTAGGGGATAGTTAAAGTTTGATTAACTGTGTTGGTCACAGCTCAGAGCAAGATTAGTAGATTTCTTGTTGTTGTTGTTGTTACACTTAAATTAGTTATTTTAATTAAATTATTAATACTGTTACAATGTATTGCATGACTCTGATATTCATTAGATTTTTTATCTTCACAACCATTAGATTTTGCTCCAATATCTGTACCATCCTACTGTGTATTCTGTAGTTAAACAGTAATATGTGTCATCATTGTAATTTATTCTCACATGTTAAGCTACATGAAAGTCACATTGTTAGAGCTGTTAAACAAACTTTCATTGGTCACTACACATTGTTAGGGAGGATTATACCAAATTTTTGGTAAACTGATGTCAAGTTTTTGACGGACTGGAAACAGTAAGATGAATGAAGTTCAAAAACCAGTCTTTATGTGTTTTGTAAATTGTATTATATTCTTTCTTTAATATTAGTTTCTTTAACATTGTTGATTAAAATGTTTAATTTTTTTTAACTAAGAGGATTATTTTATGTTAGCTTAGTGTACTGGTTTATTTTGAGAGATATTAATGGAATATTACAGCCAAATATTTCCATAATAACCAAACATGCACTTTTCTACATCATCACAGCCTACTTCTAATACAAGTAGAAATATTATATACAACTTGAAGATCTGAATATGTCACTGGTACTTAAACAGTAACATCTACAAGAATAATTCGAAAACTACACTATTAAATCAGCCACTCTAAAACACCAGTATCTGACTCAGAAATGTGGACAATCCATTTGTAATATGGTCAATACGCTATAGAAAATTTTTTATATAATTCATGAACCACCTGAACAGACAAAATCTATCAATAAAATTAACAACTAAAATAGAACTAAATAAAAAGGATAACAAGCTTCCCTATGATCACTATGACATAAACAAATCATATACCACAAGAAAGGTTATGCAAGTCCACAAATACTGTTCCAACACCTTGACCACTCAAGTAAGTCTGTCACTATATTCTCCTACACAGTTTTTTTAAATTTGAATCTCCTTCATGTGATTTTCATGTTTGTCTTTCTTCTTTTCTCTTTCTTTCATGATGGCTACTAAATTAATAGAACACTATGACATAAACAAATCATATACCACAAGAAAGGTTATGGAAGCCCACAAATACTGTTCCAACACCTTGACCACTCAAGTAAGTCTGTCACTATGTTCTCCTACACAGTTTTTTTTTTAATTTGAATCTCCTTCATGTGATTTTCATGTTTGTCTTTCTCCTTTTCTCTTTCTTTCATGATGGCTACTAAATTAATAGAACACGAGCCACATTGTAAGAAGCAAAAAAAGGAACACATAAGAAGCTTTTTTTACTGATAACACATTCAGTCAACCTAGCACAGAAAGCATAAAAAGTTTAAGATTCCCTTCTTAAAAACATTCATATCATTAAGTCTAGATAGAGTCAGAGCTCAAACAACTGGACAGCACATTTACCTTTCTAACAAAAACACCCAAGTTCAAATCCCAGCTCTTGCCACCACATACAACATAACAATGTTTAGGGACAATAAGGGACCTACTCATCCATCCCCTAAGCTAAACTAAAACTATTGAAAAAATTTTATTAAAGCCAGCCCTTATCACTCATATAGATATCAAGTTTTCTCTTAAACACACTTAAATTTACTACCTCCACAACATCCAAAGGAAACTCATTCCTGTTAGAAAAAATTAAAATGTCTTAGCTGAGATGACTCCTTCCTTGCCCAAATTTATATTTGTGTCCCTTAGTCCTACTGTTCTCACTGTTAAATATGAAAAAAGATGATGCATCAACACTATCAATTCCCTTTACAATCTTAAACAGCTCAATCAGATCCCCTCTAACTCTCCTTTTTTCAAGAGAAAACAAACTAGTAATAACTAGCTTGATATGGTTTTAATGAGGATTTAGGCTTAAATTATCATCATTTGAATTAATTTTAAATACTATGAGAATTTGCAAATGCAAAGAGTTATTTCTGATTTATATGTATTTTTGCAGAGACTAGAAGAAAACATGATCATTACTACTGTGCATAATATTTTCTAAAACCAAACTCAAAATGGAAAAAAATTTTCCCAAAAATGCTATCAGAATCAGCTTTTTCTTTGGCTGAAATTAAATATAAAGCATTTCTATAATACTATGTTTCAGGTGCAAATCACATTTTCTTCAAAACAACTTCAATCCTTAGAAAAAAACAGGTAGGTTAGTATATTTTCTAACTTACTTAGAAGATGTACAAATTCAAATATCTTTATAAGTTTTAAAACTGCTTCTGTAGATTTTCTTAATTTTTAAAGTTGCATTTTGCATAATATTATTACTAATATCTGCACATCTATTGAAGGATTTTTTATATTGTGTTGTTTGGGATATTCGTGCAAAGCTAGACATGAACTATCTGACAGACCAGAGGGAAAGCAGCTAGTCAACAGCAACCACTGCCAACTCTCAAGCCTACAGTAACTGAATAGTGAGATTTGACCATCACTCTTCTAACATGCCCATGACCCCAAAGTATCAAGTACAATGTTTTTCTTACACCAACATGACATAACCATGAACCCTTGGATCCAAAGTCAGGCACATTAACTACTAGGCCATGCCTAGCCTATTAACTAATTGAATCTTACAAATGATTTGCATAACAATATTCTTCTTATTAATGACTTCTTTACTCATGGTGAAAATCCAAAATAAATTACATAAAACATGATCCAATCAAGATAACTGGTAGTAATATTTAATAGTTTATAAAAATGCGTGTATAATTTAGTTACATTTATAATTACAATTTTAAGGCCTTAATCAACACAGTTGAAATGAAGGTAAATTATATTAGTGAAGCTTTTTTATTTTAATGTTTGGTTAATCAAATTTTCAGGAACCAAATGCATTAGAAATTATTTGTCAACTATTATAAGAAAATGATGCAGTTAGCTAATAATATCTAAAAATAGTTGACAGTAAAATAAATGTATACATTATAACATTCAAAGAATGTTTGAAATCAAATTTTAATATTATTTCTTATAACTACTTAAGTAGCTGTTAAAGAAGCTCTGGCACACAGATGTTTAACACTAAGGTGCACTGTAATTATATTTGTCAACTTTTCAGTCTTCCATGATAATTATAGCATTGCTTAACAACAAACTATTGTTTCACTCTTATTCATTGGCTGAAAACAAATAAATAATTCATGTTACAGTTCAATAATGATGACATAAAACTAGATTAGATGAAATGTTGGAGAATTTACAGATATGAATGCAAAATTATTTAAAAGATGTTTTAAAAGTGCAACTTACAAAACTTCCTTAACAAAATAATAATGGCTAATTAAAAGTCATATAAAATGTTAAGTTTTTAGGAACATAATTATGTACTTACAGGAGGGCACTGCAATAATTTATCAGCTGCTACCATCTGCACATTCAGATATCGACTCTGCGATTTTCCTCGAGATTTTATCAGTCGTTGTAGCACCTACAAATGAGGTTTGAGAGCAAACATTCTTTAATACAAAAAGTAATTAATATTTTGATTGTTTTTTATGTTATCTTATAATTAAAATAACAATAAAACAAATTACACAGATTTATCCAAGCATACGTAAAACGTAAATCAACAGTTATGCAAGCCTAATTAATGAAGCAATTGAAGAATTTAAGAATGTTTTCAACATATGTACCCTATTCTCTGGAACTTATTAATAGTTGGGGAGTGGGGGAGGAGCAAAATTAGGTGCTTGATATTACAAGGAAGTATTTGAAAACAGATTGTCTATAATATGCCTTAAATGAACTCTACTTTTATCAAGAATGTGCACATTTCTTACTTTAGATATAATTTATTCCTAAATTTAATATATAATCCTTATAGTCATAATGGCATTCTATTCATATAATCTTATCATAATGACTTCAAAAGGTTTTATATGTTCATATAATTGTGTGTTATGTTTTTATTAAATCTTATACAAATTGAACATATGAAATCTAAAAATAATTAAGATAGGTATGTTCCTTGTAGAAAAAAAAGGGGTGGCTGCAAGTAATAAAAACAGGTTAGCTTATAAATGGTAAAAAAGGATAAAACTAAAGAAAAGCACTATTAATTTAATAAGTTTAAATTCACTACTATCATACAATAGTATGATAATTACAGAAGATCAAGAGAGTTGTTTCAATGGGAAATTAGGAAATCAAAAACTATATGGAAAATGATTGGCTGAAAATGTAAAAATTGATAGTAAAGATTTCTTTAAATGCAGTAAATGAGTAAAATGTTAGGATGGGAGTAGGGCCTTTGAGGGATGACAGGAAGGCTAATATCTGATGATCATGGAATGCCTGGGTTATTAAATTCTCTTTTTTCTTCAATTTTTACTCATGAAGATTTAAGCAATATTTCTAATATGGATCAGTTGCTAGAGGGAAACAACATTGAATAAGGCGATCAATTAATTCTGAACTCGATAGTTTAGTTTAGTGGAAGGGATGTATTGGATGAACCAAAAGATCTCTTGTTGTCCTTAAACTATATGTAAAGATATTAAAAAATGTCCCAAACATTATCTGCCAATATTACATGAAATCAAATGGCTAAAAGTCTGTGGAAAACAAACACTTGTTGAAACACTAAACAAAAATTAAGTTACAACAATCCAAGATAATGTCTTCATCAGTGATTAGTGAATATTATACAACAATGCAACAGCTGTGGTAGTAGTACATGATTTCCTGTTGAGAATGTACTAAACCTGCTGTTATTCCCATGGGTTTCATCTCCCAAGACTTGTCAGATGTTAAGCTATGTTAGCTTATGTTTGGCAATTGTCAATTATATAGTAAGTATAAATACATACTGTGTCTTATTGTTGGGCTAAGGATTCTTCTACATGTAGAGTAGGTGTCTGTAACTTGTTAGCAACAAATTCAATGATAAATAAGCAGTACACATAACACTTGTTTTCAAAATAATGTATATATATATATTTGAAACAAGTTAAATGTATGTACAACAAATTCTTTACACTATAGAAATTACATGCATATTATATATATATAGTTCTCTTCTTCTTGTCAAAAGTCCACTTAGGCCTATTCATTGCTTTAAAATTTCAGTTGACAAGCCGACCTACTGTTCCCTATTTCTGTTACACTAGTATTCCCTGTAAAATTCACTTACAATTGTGGCGTGAGTTACCACAGTTGTATACTGCTCTTCCAGTAATTATTTTTGTCTTCTTTCTTCAAAATATCCTCTGTTCCTTTTATCAAAGTGCACTCAGGCTGATTCAATTTCTTTATAACCATGGTTTGATGGAATAAATTATTATTCTTATCTCCTTTTCTACTATTAGTCTTACTCTAACATATTAAACGGTAGGCCTATGTTAATAGTTAGGCCTATCACTTCTATGGCAGTTAACTTTATGTTTAACTTTCCTTGGCCAAACTTCTACTTCCCATGACTTTACTTTCTCGTCTCCTCTCTCTCTGTCTCTGCTCGTCTCACACTATTTATATGTTTATCACTTAATCGTCTGGCCACCTTTTTTTTTTTTCTTCACCAGTGATTCCTTGACGAGATTTCAAACCATGAAGACATGTTGTACCAAGCTCCGCACCCAAGTGGCTAACTTCCCTGTGGGAAGGAAACCCATTCAACATTTGCCTACAGCTTTGCCCGGCATCCCAAACGATTTCTCCCTCAATCAGATAAATATTTTCCTAAGAAAATACAAACCCAACACCGCTATTGACCCGTCCAACACAAAACTATTAAGAAGGGGAGAAATTTTTATTCAACTACTCACCCCCAAAGGCTCAGATTATCTATGTGCCCCACCAGTAGTTTGTAAACTGCCTCGAAATAATGCTCAACTTTTTCTGTGTTCCTGAGAAATGTTGATCTGTCTATATCCACTGAAGACATCAAATATAGCCTCCTTGCCATACCTAACTTCAAGATCCATGCAGTGCACAGAATCAAATCAAGAATCACAGGCCAACCGACTCGATTCATCAAAATAGTCACATATTCTAACACTACAGAACAATATCTTCTAACTCACGAATTATCTTACTACTTCTTCCACTTCACAGCTGAAAGACCAAGAAGACGCCTAATCACAAGAAACAATGACGCCATAACCAGAGCTTCCAGGCCCACGACACATCAAAATCAACAGTATCCTGTTCTTGCCAACGCACCTGCTTCTGAGACAGAACCGCCTACCACCTCCAGTAGAACAACTGTGAAAATAAACAATAACACCCCAACAAACAACCTCCAGATAACTTCACAGCAGACACAAACCATGTTACCTCTATCAACCAAGTGTGATGCCTCCACTTCTACAGACAGCCACTTTCTTATACACCAAGAAACACAGACCATAATTGCCAAAAAGGAGACAACAATGCAGACTCCAAGAGATTGACAAGATCCACTTTAAAAACTTCAGATGCTCTACCTATCTACCTCTATCTATCTCATCACCTAGCACCATCCCATTACACAAGACACCATTCCGTCGACTAATCAACCAGAGCCCAATCCAGCTAAACAACAACCCGAGTGTACACAGATTCACGTCGCCTCTTCACCCAGCCAGACTGTTCTATCCTTCAAGCATCACCAGTAGCCACATGGAATTCAACCCAAGAAAACTAATAATATGTCTTTTTCCACAGCATTTTTCGGGCATGGTCAGAGTATTTTATTCAGCGCCCTGGCCGTGAAAGTGGGTTTTTTTCAGGGTACTCCTGTTTCCCCCCACAGCCCTGAAAAGGACCATCTCAGGCTAAATGTAATACTGTAGTTCTCTGCTAATGTTCAAATATTAAAATAATTATCCTCAATTGCTAGCCAATATTCTTTAATCAATTTACTCTCAACATTTTAGACAAAAACGGACGCACTCGATCTGCATCTCCCTGCTCTGCTCTACACCACTCAGCTCTGCAATGCCTGATGTCATGTGGTCATACGACCTCAGTTCCCGCCAAAAGAAAGAAAACTTCTGAAGAAAACACTTAACTCAGCAAAGGTCTCCTTCTTTCTCTTCTTCTCCACGTCTCATCTCAGCTTTTCCCTCAGCTTGTGAATTTGCCACTAGGAAAATTAACTGTCAAGACGTTCACTCATGTAAGCATTTAATTCATAAAAGCCCCGGCCACTTAATTCTAATTATGTAGTGGGGTGAAGAGAAACAGAAGTAGCTGACCACCCCTGGTTATATTTCATTCCTCGAAGGGGAATGAAATATACTTTTAACCTAAATTTCTACCATGCCAAACAAAACGTCTGCCCGCCTTCTAGAAATCTCCATATTCTCGTCAATGTATTGCACATGATATTCGATAATCTCAACATCAATGAATTATAAACACAACTTTCAATAATCGTCTACTTTTAAATCTCTTATCATAAAATATCAACTCACAAAATAAATACATTTATACAACCACACTAAACAGTCTTTTATTTCACGACAGGAATTTATTATGTATTTCACCAATATTTTAGTGTAAGGATGTGGTTTGTTAAGCTTAAAACATTAATACAGCCAAATTCAATCTTTATTTTATGATATTTTGTATGTGTACTTTATGTTTGGCCCATCTTATTATATATAATAGCAAAACTGATGAAATCATTCAATATTGCTTGTTATTCTCATCTGTCCTTACCAATGTAGCCTTAGAAGTAGTAAAAACAACAATCACTGGATGAGGATATAAACCTTAACATAATGGCAATACTTCACAATCACCAAACAAAATTTAGTGTATGCTGTTAAAGCTCTGTCTAGATGCTACCTAGTTGCAATAAAACAGATAGTAACATGCCACCAAAAATGGTATCATCTGGATACACTACATAGCTATGGGTTCACCAGTGTTGCCTATTGCAATAGACCTTACAGAAACTCTATAAATCAATACCTTGGAGCTTTTCCTTATAAATTAAAAGTTATAGAAGATAAGTGAACCAAACATTTATTATTCTTAAAAAAACACTCATAAAATATTGCTGAACCATCTCTATTGTAGGAATAGAATAAACAGGATCTGATCAGATATTGCATTATTTATTGAAATTCCACAGGATATTAATTTTGCGATGAACCAAATAATCAGGAAACATTTTCATAAACAAATTAACTCACAATATCATGCAGGCATGACACTATTTGCATGTGCATCACACATTATAGATATTCCATTATCTTGCCCACTGATGCTTTCTATTAGCTTCTAATCATAGTGGCATTTTCCCCAGTATTAAAGATTGGTTGCCCTGGCAGTCATAATACAAACAGTCATTATGCAGTTTAAATACCATCATGCCACCCATTGTGTTGCCACTGTATGCCACATGTTCACTGTAGCAGTAGCAGCACACCTACACTTGGAGCATTCCCTAAAGGACCTGCAATGGTCCCTCACTCTTGCAGAACTGTACATCTCCATGTACATTGCTATAAAAAAAATTATGAAGTAACCAGTTTAATACTATACAATAATGAAATGGTAACTCACATCTGCACACTTTTTCAACATATATGGTCACAACTACTATCCAATCTGAAAACATCCAAACGCAATTCGAAATCAGGTGCAGGATATAACAAATCTAATATTCGACCAAACTACTATTTGTCCAATCCCTCCTCAATAGTTTCAATAAATGCATCAAATTTACAGCTGAAAAAGAATTTCAAAGAAAACTATTGTTTTTAAAACATCATATAAAAACAAAACAGACAACAAAACATAACCAGTATGTAGAAAAATATCTTGATTTAAATTCCCATCAACCCCTTCACATAATCCTATGGTAATCAAAACTTTTTCCAAAGATCTGAAAATCTATGTCTAAGTGAATAAACTGACTTAAAGAAAATAACAATATTACAAAAACTACAAAAATGGATAGATATCCTATCCAATCTATTGAACAAAATAAACTAGCCAACAAGAGAAATAATAACCAGAATACACAGCCAATAACAACCACAGCAATTCCATATATCAACCTGAACAAATAATAAGATCGTTTATATAAAATTAAAGCTAGCTATAACATTGACAAACAAGTTTAAACAACATTATATTTCATCCCAAAGATCCCATTAACACAAATGAATGTCATATGAGAGCTTTTGTTTCTATTCCACTCCATACTTCTTTGGAGTGGTTCAACATTTACTGTTCTTAATATATATCTATGATGCAATATCTAAGTTTGACAATCTTTTGTAGGATCATTATGAAATTTAGAAACATTCCCTCAATTTATGTCAAAATATATTAAGTACTTGAGTATTTTTGTTTATCTTCCATGCATAAATATCAAACTTTTGATTTAAAATCTCAAACATGTCAACTGATTAACTCAAGTAACTTGTAAGATAGGCAAGTTTAATTTTATATATCTCACACATGCAAGCTCACAAGATCCTCTAACAAAATTCTCAAGTACGTGTATCTATGAGAAAACAAAAATCTGCTTTAACATTTTGGCCACGAATGACCTTCATCAAATAGAACTGCTATACAAAAATTTCCATGAAAGATAGCAAATGTTTTATATATTTTTCTTCAGGGTACTGCCAAGAATTAATTGCAGGAATGAAATTACAAGTTGGTCACTAGGGTAAATGTTAGGCCTAGGTTAATATGCAAGTATGAGCAAACTGACTCAGCTGTAAGGAAAGTTTTAAACTTGGACTAGACAGTGGTGAGGGCAAAGATAAACTAAATGAAAAAAATAATAATAAAAAGATGTAAAAAAAGTTTAGCATAGGAAATGAGCATAGAAGTAGTTCTAAGAATATGCTTAATTGTTACTATTGTAATGCTAGAAGTATAAGGAATAAAATAGATGACTTTAGACTGCTGGTAGGAATGGAGGATTTTGATATAATAGGAATATCTGAAACATGGTTAAAAGTAGATGATTTTGTTGACAGAAATGTATTTAAAATACAGAGTTGTAGGTTATTTGATAGAGTATTAAAAGAGAAAGGAGGAGTAGCTTTATATGTAAAATGTGAGTTACATCCTGTTGAAGTTGAGGATATCAAAGATAATAGCAAGGAGGCTGAATTCATTTGGGTTTCTCTTAGCAGATATAAAGGGAAAAGGCTTTTAGTGGGAATTTGTTACAGACCACCAGATGATACTGATGAAATTAGTGAGAAACTTTAGAGTGAGATTAAAATTTCAGCTGTTGGTGAGGTCATAATTATGAGTGATTTTAATTTCAGGCATATAGAATGGGAAATATCAGTCAAACCATAAGTGAGAAAAGTTATTGGAAACTGTTCAAGATGGTTTTGTTCACCAACTGGTCAAGGAACCTGCTAAAAACAATGGTATTTTAGACTTATTGTTAACTTCTAATATACAAATGGTTGAGAGAGTGGAAATTGGGGAACATCTGGGTGCAAGTGATCATTGCTCTATTAGGGTCGATGTTTTGTGGCATATGGAAATCAGGAATAAAGGTATTTTGGTCACATATTTCAAAAACGCAAATTTTGAAGGGATGTGACAAGAATTATTAGTTGTGAATTGGACAACTCAGTTATTTTGAGACACTGATCAGATGTAGAAAATTTTTAAGTATTTAAGGTAAACATATTCCTTATATAAAGAAAAGGGTAGCTGGAAGTAAAAAAAAACAGATTGGCTCAGAAAGAGTATAAGAAATAAAATTATAGAAAAGCATCATAAATATAAGAAATTTAAAGTGACTGGTTTGACAAGAGATTTAGAAGATTATAGAAGATCAAGAAAGTTGGTCAAACAGGAAAATAGGACCTCAAAATCGATGTATGAAAAAAGGTTGGCTGAAAATGTAAAAATTAACAATAAGGATTTCTTTTAATACTCAAAGGGTAATTTAAATGTTAGAATGGGGTAGGACCTTTGAGGGATGATAAAGGAAGGAGCTGGGTTATTAAATTCTGCTTTTTCTTCAGTTTTTACTAATGAAGATTTAAGCAATATTCCTCATCAACAGTTGGTAGATGGAAACAAGATTAAACAGACATTACATTAATTCTGAGCTTGTTAAGAAAAATTGGAAAGCTTAAAGAACAACAAGGCTCCAGGACCAGATAATATTGGCCTAAGAGTTTTGAAGGAGGTTATGGATTGGATATGTGAGCCACTTGCTACTGTTTTTTTTTTTACAAGTCCTTGAATAGTTTTTTAATAGTTTTAGTTTAGTTTAGAAGATGAGATAGCTTAGACCAATAGGTCCTGTGTTGTTCCTAAACATTATGTTATGTTATATTGTTAAACACATAACTGTTTTAGACGTGAATATTTTTCACAAACTACAATGGATTCTAGGAAGCTCATGCAATATGAAATATATAAAAACTTACCTTATGTGAAGATATTTTCACATAAACTATAATAGGTGCTAGTGATGTTTTTACTAGCTGAGAAGGGTGATTAATAGTGTCACAATCAAGCAGAACTATCTGTAATGTTCTGGCTAGTTCAAATATTCTTTCTATTTCAGCTTGTACCTCAGCTGTGAAATAATAACAACATGAAATGTATTTCAAATTATTTTAAAAAGAAGAAAGTTCTTAAAATTAACTAATAATTCTGACAAAAGATAAGCAAGTAATTAGAAAAAAATGACTAATAACAAAAATTACCTGCAAAAAAGTCATGAGAAACAATTATGCAAACAACATTACAAACCTTATTTTACACAACTTTTGCAATACTTGTCAATTTTCAAGTAAATCAATTCAGTCAAACCTGAAAGCCCCTTAAAAATCTCCATTTTTGAAGCCCCTTCAAAACGTAATTTTTTTTCCTTTGTTTATATTCTATATGAGGGGGTGAGTAACCTACATGCAAAACTTCAAATTGTTTGAGTTTAAAAATTATATAAAGAGACAAACACAGATCAGATACATATATAAGTTTGTTTGTTTGTAGTTAAGCACAAAACTGCACAATGGGTTATCTGTGAAGTACTCACTATGGGTATCAAAACCAATTTGTTATTGTTATACGCCTTCAGACTTATCACTGAACTACTGCGGTGGTGAGTGGGGGATACATAAGAAAAATTAAAAATTACTATATACACTGTTGACTGTAATATAACAAAACTCCAGGGACGTTGTGTATCAGAAAATAAGGGAAGATTGATAAAGTTGTACTGATACTTAATATTAAATTCTGAATAGCCCTCAAAATGTTTTTTTTAACATCAAAAAATATTTCATAGAAAGCAATATAAAATTAGAATACAAATCCTGTGTTAAATTACTCATCCTAAAATATGTGATCTATTTGAGAGTTGTATCCAAAAAATGCAGCAGCCACACATATATATCATTAACACAGCAATAATCAATTTAATCACATAATTAGGAATGCATACTTTATAACAATTACAAATAACTAACTGTAAATTAAGAGAAAGCTGTCTCATTGGTTAATTTCAATAGATACAAACTATATCACTTAATTTATCTCAACCATTATAATGCAAATTTACTAAAGTAACAAGTAATTTTAAAATTAGCACAGAACAGATTATCTTTGGCTTATCTTCAAAATAGTTTACAACCTGAAAGTGCTAGTTTCAACAAAAAAGTTATGTAACTAAAACTATTTGCAATTATAATATAGATCTGATTCATCAGGTGGAAAATGAAACTTAATAATAAATATTACAAACATGATAATACCAACAAACATCTTCAATTAGGGATGTTTTGGAATTGCTTCAAATTCCATCATCAGCATTAAAACCTCAAAAAGTTAGGTCACAATATCCTAACTATAAAAAACAACATTAGTATTGAGAGAGTAGTTTCATATTCAATCGAAAGCTTAGAAAGAACAGATTTAAATGGTAACAATATAATGGAATGTATGATAAAATGTGTAGTATACACATGTTAAATAAATAACACTGTTAAGAGAAATGAATAAAAAAAATCTATAACCCAAGCGTTTTCGAAAGGTGGCTCTTTCTTTTTCCCTGAAGAAGAAAGGTCCACCTTTCGAAAGAGCTTGGGTTATAGGGTTTTTATTAATTTATATCAAGACTTCTTGAACCTACGTGTTTTTCTAACATCATGAATTGTTGAGAGAAAACATTATAAAAGCTTGAATATAAGTATGAACACTGTACCTTTAAAATAATAATAATAATGATAATTATCAAAGAAAAACACTGAGAATCTGGAATTGATTAAATTAATGACAACATGAAGGAGTTAAAGTTATTATTTAGTGTTGGATGATCACTGAAAATAGATATTCTTTCTTTAATAAAGAGTTCATAATATGTGGTTCCATAGTTGAGAATTTTAAAGTTTTCTAGAAGTATTAGATGGTTGTTATTCTCACTGTACAATCAGATACAAGACTCAGGTTGATAGGTTAGCTTATATCTGCTTCTAGTTGAAATTCCCTTGTGCTTGTGTGCACATATTTGTAGATGATGTCGTTTTTACCAATATAGGTAGCTTTAAAGCTACCACAGCTATTTATTTGTATTTATTTGCTATTTATTGTAAATGTTAATGTAAATGCTAAATGTAGCTCAATTTGTGGGTAACAAATAAAACAGAACCTACAAAAAGCCACACAGTGTATCAAAATATCCACTAGTTTTATCACTCTTTTCATTGGCAAACAAAGTTATAAAGTCAAAACCCCAATCAAAAAATAATCAAAACATATTACCCACAAATTAAGCTACATTTAGTATTAATGTCAACATTTAGAATTAAAATATGTTTAAAACTAAAGACACACTACCCATTCCTATGTGCTCATGAGTGATATATAAATACACTTGTGATAGTTTTAAAGCTACCTATATTGGTAAAACTACACATCACCTACAAATACGTGCACTCAAGCATATGGAAATTTCAGCTAGATGCAGATATAAGCTAACTAATGCACTCGAGTCTTGTATCCTATTGCATAGTGAGAATAACAACCACACCATACTTCTAGAGAACTTTAAAAATATGTTTTTTGGTATTACCATGTTTTTAATTTTTATTATAATACAGATCTTGTGCAAAGTTACCCCTATCCAATCAGTAAGCTATTTCATTAATGTTCAAGGAGAGAAAATAATAAATACTTGCATTATGCAAAAATATTTTCAAAACATATTACAGTCTTATATGTTATATGTACATAACAAATTACAATTAATTAAACACAATTTGTCCATACAATCTGTGTTTTCATACTTCAATGTTTAATGTACAAAGCTTGTACACTATATAACATCATATGCTAAACTAGGAAAAATATCTTTGTTAGAGAATAAAACTCATAACAGCCTTCTGCATCAGCTCAGCAAATGGTTTTCTATTTGATCAGTAACTGAACAAGCTGCTAAATTTAGGGAAACATTAAAATATTAATTACTTTGTCAAAATAAACAAAAATGCTTAAAAATACGAAAGTAATCTTAGATTTTACAATTTAATAAAACAATCTTATATTTACACAAGTTTTTTTATCCATTGTACATGATAAAACTTTTATTTTGTTCACAACATTTCACCAGGTTTACCAGGCATCATCAGGTGAGATACAAGTACTGAGGCTAACAGAAATTAATTTCAGAAACAGGAATCATGTGAGAATTTGTATCGATAGTAATCTACAAGCAATTGCAAACTTAATAAAGTAATTTATCATTAAACTGTCAAATTTATGAATATATAAATAAAGCTCTTAGGCCTAAGTCTAAGTACTGAAATTTGTTCTATATACAAGAGATAAGGAAGCAATTAAAATAGATGTAAATGAACACCTTTGTATTTGTTAAGATAGGGTTATGTTTTGTTTTTTCTTATTAACAGGGCTTCTTTTATTTTTTGTCTATTAATGTTGTCTTCTCTGCTGAAGATTTTTACCTTAAAAGAATCAAAAGAATGATTGTTCCTAACCACGTGTTCAAAAATTACGTAGAAAGTTGTCTGTTTGTCTCCTCAATATAACAGCTTTTGCAATCCAATTCCATTATATACACATTTCCTGAAGTATCATTTATTCATACACTTCTTGGATAGCAGTTGACCTAGATTTTTTCAGGTGGAAATGTAAATTGTACTTTAATGTCAGTTTTATACTCTCTAACTGTATTTAACCAAATTTTTTGATAACTCAATGGTAAAACACAAGAAACAGGGATATATTTTTGAAGAATCATCTTATATGTCAATTTGTGGCTTATTTTCAATGGAGGCAATCACTTTACTAAAAACAGTGGGAGGGAAATTTTGTACATAAGAGTGAAATCCAAAGTTGTCACTTTCTTTCTGAATCAATCAATGTTAGAACTTGTGATTTTATTTGTACAAATAGTACCTTTTAATATACCTAGATTTTGACCTTGGTGATGAAGATAATTCCAAGGAAAATAAAGTTCAATGTGAGTGTTCTTACAAAATACAGAGATTTGGAAGTCAGTGTTTGTCTTTTTAACACAAACATTTAGAAATGACAATTTGTCATCAACTTTGTTTTCCATTGTGAACAAAATAAATAAAAGTTTTACTATGTAGAACCAATAAAAACTTGTGTGAATTTTTAAAAAAACAGTTGTTTCTAATATTTAATTAAGTCTTATCTTTAGCTTAATTAGTCCAAGAAATTTTTAGATCAAAGACCTATAACTAAAGAGGAAATTTCTTTACATTTTACATTTTGTTAAGGAAAGATTTTGGATATTTAATGATAATAGCTTCCTTTGTCTTTGACTCCTACTCACTACATCCTGAACAAATAACATGAAAATTATTTAATGTAAATGAAACATTACAAAAAGTGCACATGTGGACATACATGCTGAGTTTTTTGAAGGTAAAGAATTTTAACAATATTCATTGAAGCATCTTGTAATTGGAATTTTGTACTTCTGACATCACATAACAAGTCTGACCTCTGTAACTATAGATGACTAATGAGGACTGCATTTCTTGTATTATATCATTAATTCTGAACACAGCTATTCATTGTAGTTACTGCAAAAAAATTACATGATGTGAATCTTGTGGGAAATAAGAACTTGTGTTTTGGTATTTATATAAAGTTGACTGAACAGTTGAACAATAAAGCAAAAAACGGGCTACATCTTGACATTCCACAGTTTGTATGAATACCTGTTCCTTCTTTTTCATAAATTCTTACCTAGTCTTCTTGATCATAAGATCAACAAGCTGAACAGATGTATTCTTTTTCCAACACTCACAATTCTTCAAGCTCTAGTAATTAGGACAGTTATCAAATTTCATTTAAAGAATTAGAAACAAAACCCTGAATGTTTGAATATGTGTAATATACAAACATACCATGTGTTTCAATTATAATACTTATTCTGAATTTATTCTCTATTCTAAACATATTCTGGTTTCACATGACATGTGGTTGAGAAAAACCATTAAGTTAATTTTGTTTCATGTTACCTTTGTTCCTTTCTTGTTTTTAAAAGAAGATAATATCTGTTAGATGATATTCCTTAATACAACACCTTGCATAAGAATGTTAACAGCAATGTCTTTCAACAGTCGTTTAGGTGATGTCTAGAGTTATGGACCCAACTATATTGTAATGACAATAACCAGTCACTCCGATAACATGTGTTGCTCTGGATAAATGTGAGGCTTCTTTCAAATGAAGAAAAGTTGCACTTAAACATCTGGTACATGGTATCAGCTTGAAGAAAAGAGACAGTAAAAGTGATTGTCATGTGTAAGTAAACAGCAAGTACACACACACAGTCTTTGTATTTCATTGTAATAATAAAGATTGTGTATTTGTATTTTACACTTCATGTCCAGTCTCATTATTTCATTTTACATCAACTCAATCAGTAAGATGTGTAGTACTAGTCAATAATCAAGATCTAGATCGAATCTTCTATTATCAGTTTCACCTGGACATCCCACACATAAACCAGTATTAGCAATCAGCTGTAAAACCCTTATCAGACCCTGTAATTACCATTTCTACAAAAGAAAGGGTACTTTGGTTTTCAAATTTAGATGGAACTTAGTGTTTGGATGTTTTGAATTTAGATAGTCAAGAAAGATGTGAATCAGAACAAGATTAAGATTATGTAAAATTATAATTTTCCTATACTGAAAATGTATTTCCGATAGGTACTTCCTTGCACTCACAAGATTAGTTATTCTCGTCCAGTGCTGCCCTCTATATGCAAACTTTTTTCTTTACACATGCCACAAGCCTTCTGCTCCCCCCCTATTGGAATTAAATTATTCCAACATGTCTCTCATTAAAATCATCGTGCATCACTTCTTCACCAATAGGAGTGTGACCTACTCACGTGATGCATGTGACTCCCTCTATATGCTTCTATTGAACAATCACTTTGAAGTTTGGCATGAGCTATAAACGCCAGAGGAAAGTGGAGAGGAAGGGTGGGAAGTGTGAGCAAAGTGAAGTACCTATCAGAAACACATTTCATTATAGGAAAATTATAAGTTCCAATTCGGTAAGAAAACAATGAGACGAGGCACCCCAAGAAGAAGGAATAGGGAAGGGAAAGGATGGGAAACTGTAACAGGTGCCATATTGAGCTCTGACTGAGACAAATGGGCAACAAGATAGGAAAGGGTAGACTGTTGTTGTTCTGATGCAACTCATGACTCCAAGGACTCAGGGATTGTATCAAATACGTAACGCCACATCAATGGGACCCATACGTAAATCCCGAAGATGAGATGCTGGTAAACATAAGTGACTTAAGGTCGCATCATGACCTAGAAGGTCCAACAACATAGTAACCACGTATGTAAAGCCAGAGCCGAAGATGACTGATGAGCCAACCTGGAGGAAAGGAGGGTGTCCCCAGAAAACCACTCAGGATTTCGGTGGAGAGGCTCAGAGAGGAGATGGATGGTAAAGAGATACTGTAAAAGAGTTGTCAGGGTAAGACAAAGATGGGAAAATTGGGCATGAGTCAGGAGATTCGGAGCCCCCCCCCCCAAACATGTAAAATAAAACCTAATAATTAGTGGTCTAGAAAAGGACAGTCTGTATGATGATATGCAAGAGCAACCTGATCTGAAGGACATGGGGGGTGAGGCATGTTAATCCCATCATTTAATTGTGAGGCAACTTGGTCAGCATGTACCCAAATAGGGATGTGAAGATTGGTCATGTAGTAAGGAAGGATGTGGTTCATAGGAAATAGGGGCAAGGGATAAAACATCACATACCTGAAAAACAAAATCCAAAAAGACCATAGTATGCCTAACTGACTCTTCAGGAGGGGCATGGAAAGGCATGGCAAAATCAGGAGGTGGAAATAGGCAATCCAAGTCCTCATCAGCCTGAACAGACTCAGCATGTTCAGGAGGAAGTGGGGCAAGGCCCGAAGATAGAGGTTGACCCATGTAGCATTCAATCTCCCTGCAAATAAATGCTGATAAATCTCAAGCCAGATCACCTGAACCTGAACCCTGTGACCTAGAGCTAGTCGCAGATGTGACCCCTGAAGTCGTAACATGAACTTCGGAATTCATAATCAGGAAGAGTCAACCAAAATCGAAATTATCAATACTAATGTGACTGTAATAAACTGAGATTAAATTAAAGTTAAGAAACAGTCTTAATCAACTTCGAAGTAATTTGAATGAAAACCACTTTGTGAGTATACTACAGTTGAATGTGAAACTGTGAAAGGAACACATCCAAGCACAAGCACTGCCAAAACGAGAAGTGATAGTTCAATAGAGGCATATAGAGGGAGTCACGTGTGTCACATGAGTATGTCACACTCCTAATGGTGGAGAAATGATGCATGCATAAAGAGAAAAAGTCGCATATAGAGGGCAGCACTGGATGAGAATAGCTAATCTTATGAGCGGAGGGAAGTACCAGATCAGAAATTATAAATGTGTCATCAACACAATGTGTGTAAAACAAAAGAGTGAAATGAGTGAGAAAACTGTTGAAATACACTTGCCACATTATAGGCGCAAGTTCTTATTAAACGTTTAGGGCAGTAAGTCTGCATCTGAGCATAAAAGCCACACATGCATATTTTATAATGGTACAATTTCATCTGATGATTTTTTGATAATCTCTTCAGCTTGTGGTGAGCAAGAGTTAAGAATAAAATAAGTTATTAAGAGAAGATAATTTCATCAAGGACCTATAACATTCCCTCAATAGAATATAACAATTTAAAGGAATTTATTTTCAAATTAAGCTATAGAATTTTGTCCTAGAATTTTTTGGATGAAGATAAAACTACAGATATTTTTATTGAAACTAAAAAATGAATTTTAAAAATTAAACATACGTGTTTCAATTTCTTGCAAGAGTAACCAGTTATGCTATTTATTCTCCAATACAAAATGTGTTTCACAATGACACATACAAATTTAACATAAAATTACCTAAACTTGATGATCGATTATTTGCCTTCTCCAAGATTGCTCTTTTAGTTGGGTTGTTTAAAAGAGACCGCTTGGATAATGATATGTCAGCAGTTACTCTAGTGATGATTATTCTGAAGAAAAACATAATAACAGCTGAGTTTCATTTGACAATCAACACAATTAACAATTACAACAGGTAAATTATACCAAGATGTCTTTCACATACAGATCAGAATAAACACAATTATGAATGATAGAAAAAAAAGATTATAAAAAATTTAATATGATTAAATTGTTTCTTTGCAAACTACATATAACAAAATTAACAAGAGTTTTTCTAATTTAATTAATCAGCTTCTCTTTATATTATTAAAAAATAGTTTTCTGTACAACTTATCATTCACTTCTACATCTATCAGAACACAAAAAATAATATAATATCACATTTGTCACTCTACTTCAATACAAATGATGGTACATTTTGAAAAATTAAGTTATTTTGTGCTACTTCATAAAGAAATATTAAGTTATTGCATGCTCATTTTCACCATAATAGGTAGGAAAACAACAAATTATAAGCATAAGGAAAAGTTCTATTGATGGTGGAACATATTACATGTTTCAATATCAAACTGGAAGAAGACACACCAATGTTCTGTCAAAACATGTAGTGTGTTCCGCCATCAATAAAACTTTTCCTTATAAATCGTTGTTTGCCTACCTATTATTATATTAGCATAACATGCTTCATTACTCAAACATTTTGACCATGTTAAGTGTTATACAAAGATTAATGCTTTAAAAATTAAGAAAGTTCCAATATTTTTATTTTTGTTTGCATTTGACTAACGAAATTTTAAAATATATTTAGTTCAATCTATTCGATATAAAATACATATAAATGTACATATAATTTCTTTTATACTAGCCTCAATTAATAAATTCAAATATTTTTCAAAAAAGCTACAGTTTATTACCAAACTGATATAACTACACAGGCTCACCTACCTTCCTTCTAGCTTATGTTTTAAATAGTCAAAGAGAGCTTTCTGCATCATATCTGTGACCTCATAGCCTTTAAGAGATGGGCCCACAAGGACTACTGGTCGCATTGAAGGCACTACATCGTACGGGGGAACATTCTCAGACTGAAAAGTACAAGCGTTATTTGTCATAAAATATTTAAGTATTCTCTACACAAGAAAATAAGGGTTACTTGAAGGAACTGACATGCTTAAGTAGTTGAGAGAAAGCTAACACAATCAACAGTTACATACTGTACAAGAGTAGATAATTAATTTTATGTGTTTCATAAGGTAAATAATTACTGTATATGTTTATTATACATGCATATCTTGTAGATGGGTTATGCCATTTTTTCATAGTGCATGATAAAAAAAAAGTTGAATATTCTTCATGTGGCACACAGTTTGCAAATATTTTTCTATATCTGTTAATCATGAGTCAGTCAGTAACATCTCCTAACCATTACCTAATACAAGTCAGTCCTATCATACATAAACTTACATTCAATGTTACTTCATTATATACATGTGCTTTCATATCCATTCTTTGAAGTAAGAAGATTGTCATAAAACTGTATGATATCAATCAATCTTACCATACTAACATTATACTTTTTTATCTAGATTCTAATAATTTTATGATTGTATGGTCAGTATATATTCTATATACTGAAATCAGCTCTACCATATTTATTTTTTTATGGATAAAGGTTTTGGTTTCTCTATTATGTACACCATAATCCATGGTGGATTATTCAATATTATCAGCAAAACTATTATTTGAATATATGAAAAATAAATATATAACATCCTTACTAAAATAATAGAAAAACATTTATCACACACTATATAAAGTATCTATATAAAGTGAAGTGTTGATGGTCACTGAATGAATTTTTCACATCACATGAAAAAATATCAAATTCATTAAGGCAGAATAATGCACACAAACAACAGCTTTGTTCAGTTACAATAATCTAAAGGAGGGATGAAATGTTACTTTCTATACAGTGAAGTAAGTTTTGTTTGGCAGATAGAAACACAATGAAAACAACTTTGGTAGTTAAGTTAGTCAACCGTTATTTTTATACAGTTCTAACAGCCAAATTGACAGAGGGTTTAACAAATAGGTTAATTAGTTCAGTTTAACTGTAGAATTATCAAATGTAGTCCATATGGATCTCACCTGTTTTTGAAATACATCTGTTTTTTAAATCTTTATGCAATTTTGTTGGTTACAAGATCCTCAATAATATGAAGTTATGCAAAATAATGTAACTAAAAATACCATTACTATACAGCTAATCCCACCAGTCACTGCTGAGTAATCTCCATGTATTTTGAACAAAAGATTGAGTGTTTCAACCAGTTTTTTTGTTGTTGTTGTTGCTCTTAACACTGATTATTGTAACAAGCAAAAACATAAAATTAGTGAATGTTCTACAATGTGCGGATCCTTGAAGTAGTGAACATTTTGGTATATTTAAGTCAAATTGATTATCATGAGAGCAATGGAATAGGTCCCCTCAATAACAGGAGATTTGACAAGATATTTATTATTGAGTAGTTCTACAATTCTGTAAATAACTGAGCAATTATCACAACTACAGCTACTACTACAAAAAAGTTTAATATTTATGATTTACCATCAACCTATTAGAGGATAAAGCATTTTTGGAAGGTACTTATAATATTTGAAAATTTTCTGTAAACTTAAGAAAAATGTTAAATAGAAATAACTTATAATCTTACATTTTGCTTAACTTTTTACAACCGTCAAAAATGTATTTTTTGTTGAAAATCTGAAAGAAATAATCAACATAAACTTCAGAGTATACTATTTACATCAGTCCTTCACATTTGATGGACACCACCACACTGACTCTTAAAAGCACCTGTAAAATTAATTTTACAAGGGATTGTTAGAACTCCTTTCAAGTGTGGCATAACACCCACTGTTTTGGGCCTAGTACTGGTCCTTATTCTTATCAAGAAATAAATACTTTTGAATTCTGATCCTGTTATTATTTCTCATGACATTGGCCTTGCAATCAAGTGTTGTTTGTATACACATACAAGCTTGCAGATAACTTCATGTGACCTTGTTAACTCCTATGACTCCAATACTTTAATTTAATTGGCTTAGACTAGTGATATTACACACCTAGTAACACAATATTTTCAAACTGCCGTGTTGTATACAGACATCAGATATTTGTAACTGAGAAACTAAGCCAATGTTTTAAATTACAAAACTGGATATTAATTATTAGCAAATTCAGACTAGCAAGAAGAGTTTTAGAAAATTTGATCATGACCCAAGTTGCATTTGTTGAACTACTTTCTATATCACTCAAGGCTGCAAGGGTTGGAAGTCATCATAATTCAGTGGCACCCTGTGAACATGTCTCAGTTTAGCTAGTGAAGTTTTATTTTGTTGATATAAAAACAGTACAATTCAGTCAAAACAAATTAACCTTCATAGTCCAATTTTGTAAAAAAAAAAAAAAGAAATCGAGATATGGCATCAGCCCACTGACAGTCCCTCCTATGGACTGTTTAGCAAGGGCTGTTTACAGCTATCATGCATTTTTTTTAAAACATGAAGAATTGGTACATGTATAAAAATTCTCTTATTTCATGGGTAAAGTATTATTCTTAAATGTACAGTATGACTGTGCAAAAAGTCCTTCCCCCCATATTGTATTATTCTTGGTAATATAAAAAGTTTCACAGCTTTTAGAAACAATATAACTTACTGTAGCTTGCTTAAAAAAATATGATAAAAAATTTTGGAGATCTTGGAAAGATACTGAACTTCTTTATAATTCAAAACATATAATTTCAGTTATTTTCACATTTTCAAAATAGAAACAGGCTTCTTTGAGGGCCATTATTTAATATCTAACAGTACCAGCTGTCTGTTTGGATAAGTAAAACCAGTGGTTTAGAAATGCCATCAAATGCAAAACATAGATTGTAGACATGTGACCAGTATATTCAGAGAAAACATTAATACAGAAACCACTAGTTTTTAAATAATTATTCTTTAGATATATATGTTCTAAAATTGTATAGACATAGTTCACCGTAAAGGAAATACTGTAAATTAGTTATTAAATGAAAATA